GGGGGGGGGGGGGGGGGGGGGGGGCGTCTTGCATGCGGCCCCCAGCGTTTTCTCTCCTTTCTGCGGTGAGCCGGCGTCTCGTGTGAGGCAGGTCGACCAGAGGCGGTTACCTTTGTGTATGGACGCCGGAGGTGAGATTGCAATGGCGTCACCCGAGTATGAGGCGGAGAAGGCCATGGTGGAACAGCTGTGGAGCCGGCGGGATGCCCTGCTGTCGTCGTTATCGGCCCAGGACCCGTCAAGGCACGGATTCATCGCACGCACTGTAAGGACCAGTGAGCGAACAAAGGAAACCTGACAGCGCGTTTGTTCCTCTCCCTCTGTCCGCCTTCCGTGTGCAGGCACTTCTCCGGATATTGCGGGGACTCGTGGGGCACGGAGTCATCCAAGAGGAGCTGCTCAGAGATGTGATCCGAGCCGACACACTGTAGCTAATGTTCTTATCATGCCTCGCGTCTGCGATATGTGATGCCTGCAGGTTCTGGCTGCCTGTGCAGTGCGCCCTGCAGGTATGTACAGCCCTCATCGTTGCGACGGGACGTCCGCCTTGGTTGTTTGTGTGCGAGCAGCTGGCGCGCACGGAAGGACCAGGCCAGATGCCATTAACTATCGCGCGTTTGTGCGGGTCATAGAGACGGCACATCATCACATCCGAGAGGGCGACCGTCATTTGTGCTCTCTTCAAGGGCCCCACGGCTCGGCCCCCAGGACGACATTGCAATCAGTGCCTCAGCCGGCAGCAGAGGGGAGGAGAGTGCAGCAGAAGAGGGATCATGAGCCGCCCGTCTGTGCCCTCACGTCTTCTAGCTCAACCGTGTCTGATGGTCAGTAAGCAGTCAGAAGACTCGCTCTCGTCTTATGGCTCTGTCAACCCTCCCTTGTCCGGTGAAGGGCTGCAGGCAGCGGGCACTCACTTGTAAGACAACCCGCGTCAGGTGGGCCCTCAGGCGTCGAATGAAGCTTTTTCGGCTCCCCGGCCTTCCCCTCGCCCCCTCTTCTCTGGCACTCCGTCATTCGACCCCCTCCCCGGTCTGCCCTTCTCCCTCGCCGGACCACCGGAAGCCGACAAATCGAGACGCAAGGAAGAGAGAGCCAGGAGTGATGCCAGAAGAGAGAATGGTGTCACAAAGGAGGAGGCAGGAAGAGAACATGCGAGGAAAGGTAATCGCTTTCAGCGTGAGGAAGCCCCTGTTAAGCCCCAGCGATGGGCGCCTGAGAACAAGGAGGACGGTACGAGAACGGACAAACCATCAACAAGGAGAGAGGCCAGTCCAGTGGCAGAGCGCTTCCAGCGGCTGCTCAACGCCGCAGACGGCCTGGAGAAGAGACCCGCGAGAGACACCGCCCGTGACAACTACTGTCTTCGTGCCCCCAGCACTGCAACCTCTGCCACCAAGGCCCCCTCAAGCGCGTGGAGCTCCTCTGCATCCGTGCCGTCGAGGGACGGCAATCGCGAGGCCGAGCGCCCTCGTGAAGCCGACACGAAGGTCCTGTGGATCGATAAGCTCTTGGACGAGGGAAAGGTCAGCAGGAGGCGGGACACACAAGTGGCGCAGGACACGACTGGTGCCACTCCGCTGCCGAGGTATGTGAAATCTCCGCTCAGTTTCCAATCCTTCTTATGATCCCTCTGTTGGCCATGCGCAGGGCACGGAAGAATAAGTGCGAAAGCCACGTGTCTGCATCCTCGGCGGATGTCGATTCTATCGCGTCATCCGAGCTCATAGTCAGCCCAACAAACCCACTGCCCAAGTGGCCTCGGGCTCGACTCACCAAAGCAGCTCCAAAAACGGCTCCAAAAGGCGCTGGCCATGTCAAATCGAGACACAAGGCAGAAAAGAGCCCCAAGAAGGCCGAGAAAATGCCAGAGAGCTTTCCGTCGAGAAGACAGCTGCGTGCTGCTGGCGTGAAGGGCATGTACCTGGTGATGAGCAAGGGTCTGAGACGGCAGCTGCGGCAGTCCATGTCCCAGTGGATAAATCATGTCTCCTCCGCCAGCGAGACACCGTCCTCGGACGATACGATTGCCACCTTTCTGGCTCACTCAGCGACGGCTGGAGCCTCACCGAAGGAGGATGAGAGACTGAATGCGGAAGAGGCCCTGTCGCTTTGCCAACAGGCAACGGCAACGTGTTCTATCGTGTGGCTGACCCGTACGGCTGCCCAGCGGCAGGAAAGAATCGCATTCATGAGAATCAAGGCCAACAGATGGACCAGGAATACAGCCACCCAGACGTGCCGCAGGAGCCTCGAAACGGAGAAAGACGAGATGGGCAGTCGTGTGGTGCGAGGAGTTCTGCCATTGACGACCGCCGCGAGCAAGCCATCTGGAAGGCACGCGCGAGGCACCGGCAGCGGCGGGGCCTGTTCGCTGTGGGATGAGAAGCCGACCCCTAGATTCGCGGACGAAAGGCCCAGCCAGAGTGCCTCTTCGACCGAGACACAGCACCATCACAGCCACTACCACTTCCACACGCCGGCTGGGTGCATCCGAAGGGGCGGTACATCGACTGCCTCGTCATCTTCTTCCTTGCAGGTGCGTGCGGGTCAAGTGAGGGAGCTGCTGGAGACGCTGCACAGGATCTCTGCTGTTCTGGGGGATGATGCATGAGCGGGAACATGATCGGGTTCACTGCAGTGACAAAGACGCCTTGTGTGTTCATGAGGACGCCCGAATGAATGAATGAGTGAATGGTTGTTATAAGGGCGTGTTTGTGTGAGTGGTCGATCTGCACTGGCTGGCCACCTGGGGATGGGCGGTATGTACGTATGGAGTCATGGTGCAGCACGCACGCACGCACGCACGCACGCACGCACGCACGCACGCACGCACGCACGCATGCACGCCGCCTTCAGGCTGCTGGGGTGGCGTGTGTGCGACGTTGTGGTGCCTGCTCGAATGTTGCCGTCGTTCGCAGCGCATTGCATATCCACCTGTTTGCTGCCTCTGCCCTCTGCGTACTGCGTGTTGCGTGTCCATGTTGCATGTTAGGGTGCGTGTTTTCATGTTGGACACACAGGGGACTTGGCCGTCAGGCCGCCTAGGGCGCTCCATGAAACCGTTGCTGCGGGAAACCGCTGCTTCGCGGAAAACGGCACGTACACAGAAGCTGCATTTGTACGAGGAGTAGCAGCTCTCGTAGCGTGGCGGCGACCGCTGGCTTCTCCTTGCTCCCCATCTCCTTCTTGCCTTGGTGAGGCGAGAGGATGCACCCAGGTGTATCTTCCCTCACACGCCTCGTCCGCGCAAGAATCATAAAACAGCCTCCACGCAGCTTCCACCGGCCAGGCATCCATCGCCTCATCCCGCAGGCAGCGCGCCAGCTCACCAACAACAAGACCGACATGAACAGCAGCACAGACAGCAGCAAGGACAGCGGCGATTCTGCGACCACTGCCACATCCACAGCCACAGCCACAGACACCGGCAGCACGGCAGTGCCAGTGCCACCCACACCACCCACAGACGTGAGGGAGGAGACTCTGCTGTCGGGGCTGGTCGGCATGTACAGGAAGCTGGGAGCAAGCCAGGGGAGGTCGGCGTACCTCATGGCCGACGGCAGCGGGCGGGTGGACGGAGCCAAGGTCCTCAATGAGCTGGCCACTACGGTGGGAGAGGATGAGAAAATCGCAGCCGAGTTCGCCAAGACCATCGACAGGTAGGTAAAACTCCACGCAGGCAAACACATGCAAGCCTAGCAGGCGGGAGGACACGTCCTCATGTCATGTGATGTGTTGGACTGTCTGCTCTGTTTGTCGCGTATCGTATCGTCCTCCAGCGATACCCTCGGCCGCATTGAAGAGGCAACCAAGGACGAGCAGCATGTGAGCGTGCCCGACCCAGGTCCGCTGCAGCTGTGGCTGCTGGCCTTCTCTTTCGCCGTGTCGTACGCTGGCTTTGGCTTCGTTGACAACTTCGTCATGATCGCTGCGGGCGACGTGGTGAGTGGAGTGGAAGGGGTCGCGTCACCTTACCCAACCAGCCAGCCGTCATACACACACATGCGTCCTACCGACCATCTTTCCCTTTCTGCCCGCTGTCCTTGTCCGTCTGTGGTCAGTTCGATGCCACTCTGTGCGTGTACATGGGCTTGACGACGCTTGCTGCCGCCGGTCTGGGCAACCTCCTGAGCGACCTGCTGGGGCTGCTCATCAAGGGCATCATCGAGGACCTCGGTGGGCGAGTGGGCGTGCCGGACGCACGGCTCAGCCCCGCACAAATGGCCATGAGGAAGACCAAAATATGGTAAACAAACAAACGTTCGAACGAGGACACACGAACGACATGCGTGGCATATGGGTACTTGCGTCTGTCTATTCGTTGGTTCTTCCTTCTTGTATGTGTGTGTGCAGGGGCAATGTGGGCAGCATGGTGGGCGTGACGGCCGGGTGTGTGCTGGGGATGTGCCCTTTGCTGTGGCTCGACACCGACGAGGCGGAGCGGCTCAAACACAAAAAGAAGAGAAACGAGCTCTTCGCCGTCGTGGTGAGCCAGCCAGCCAGCCAGACAGACAGCGACGCACAAAACAACCCCCACACACATATACAGGTTAATTGCTGTGTCCTTGTGTGTCCATATATCTGTTCAGAATGAGGAGCTTGCGGCCGTGTTGGAGTCTGAGCAGGCGTCGATGTACCTGCTAGACCCGACGGGCACCGAGGTTCAGACCAAGCACCAGCCGCACCTCCACGCCCACCGCCACCCGCCCCTCTCGGGCAGCAGCCGCACACAGCCCTCATACACTGACGCCACCGAAACCACCATGAACGTCGTCAGGGCTCCTGTTGTGGTGGAGAGGGAGCGAATCGAGCGGCTCATCAAGGACGAAACCGACAGAGGAGGTGACAGGAGGGGCGAGGGCGTGATGCCAGGGGGAGGGGGCGGGTGGTTTAAGGCCAGGAGGCGACCGCGACGGTCGACGGATCCCGACGAGGACGACATTCGGGTGCCGGTGAGCTGGGAAACAAACGGGGAGCAGACAGACAGACATGACAGAACGGGTGGATCGATGGATTGCTGGATGTGGGGTATGGTAGGTCTCCAAGCTGGACAAGGATGGTCTGGGCTACGTCCTGGCCACAAAGCAGGTAAGGCAACACACCACACCCTTGTTTGTTTACACGGCTACCATGGGAAATACTACACACGGTAGGTATCTGACTGTGTGTGTTGCCATTTGTTCAGATGGTGAATCTGTCGGGCGACAAGGCGGCCCAGTGGATCTCCTACCCCCGGCTCATCCGGCACACCCCAGACCTGCCCACACCTTCTCCACCCCCTCTGCCCAGGCATCACGCCACGCACCACCACTCACCGCCACACAAGAGACTCCGCATCCTCCCACACGTGCTCGACCGACCGCCGCCCTCGCGAGCTGACGACAAGCATGCCTCAGAGGGGACACCCTCCCACACACACACGTCAGCAGCAGCTGCTGCCCCCGCCCCCTCTGCTAGCAGCAGCAGCTCTGCGACGGATGCAGGACGCCCGTCTGAGGGTTCGGCGAGTGCCGAGAAGGATAGAGAGAAGGATAAGGAGAGGAGTGGCGGCATGTCGCTGTTCCTGGCGTCGGACACGATGTACGAGAAGGACGCCATGGCCAAGACGGGCAAGCCCACCGAGCCAAAGTACGTCTTCACCTTCAGGAAAGTGAAGCCCCAGGGGGCGAGGGCGAGCCCCTATGCGGAAGGACTGGCGCCCAGACAGGTGCTATGCGCACCTCTCATCGGCACCAGGGTGGGTGACTTCCTGACAGACACACGCCAGCCACATAAGACAAGGCGACACATGTGTTGGATGTGTGTGTGTGGATGTCTGTGGGGTAGGGTGAGCTGATAGGGATGGTTGAGGTGCTGAACAAGGTCGGTGGGACGGGCTACACGGCGAGCGATGCGCGGGTGCTGCGGGCGGTATGCAGCCACCTGGCCATCCACCTCGAGGAGGCCAAGAACCAACACGTACACCAAAGGCCAGAGGCGCTCAGGAAGGTCTTCTGGTGAGTGAGGACTTTGGGCAGATCTGCAGACCTTGTGGACGAATGTGTGTGTGTGTGTGTGTGTGTGGCACATCAGGATGTGTCGGGAGCACATGGCGGGTTCTCCCTCTCCCGCAGCGGCCAAGCAGGAGGGTCTGTCCTGGGGCAGCTACCTCAAGTCCTTCATATGGAGCAGCAGCAGCGGCAAATGAATGAACCGACCATCCCTCCGTTTGTCCAGTGACGGAGGGACCGATGCGATGGATACAATTCAAGCAAGACTCAGAGGGAGAAAAAAGGGGGAAGGGGGGAGGGGCGCCCGAGTGCCGCAAGACACATGGGGGTCAATGAATGTGGCAACCAAGCAGCGAGCGGGCAGAATCCACGGCAATGTGGTCGTCGCCGTGTGTGTGGGTGAATGTGCGTGTGCGTACCTACTGGTAGGATTGCGTCTGTTCGTCTGCCTGTCTGTCTGTCTGTCTGTGTGTGTGTGGGCGTGTCGTCCTCTGTGCCTGTCTCCTTCATTCACTCTGCTGACTGCCTCCCGCTCATATGTCAGCTCACTGCCCTAAGGACATCTCACTGCTGTCTCTTCTCGCACTGTCCGCCTATCTGTCTGTCTGCCTGTCTCCTTACTCACTGCCTGTGACTCACTCACTCCACTCCCTGCCTGAGTGACTGACTCCTTCGCCATTTTTCTCTCCTTCCCCTGCTCACCTTGCTCACACGCAAGCAAGACCGACCATGGGACATGGATGGCATGTGCAGCTGTCCGAGCCAATACACACCTGCGTGTGCTTGATGTGATGGCGGTGGTGTGGTGTGGTGCTGTGTGGGCGCTGCGTCCATACGTGCGTGTCTGTGGAGAGATGGATGGATGGACGGACGGCTGGCCTGGATGGGCAGTCCGGCCATGGGAGGGTTTTTCAGACGTCAATCTGTCTGCCTGCCTGCTTGCGTGTGTCCGGTCCCTCCCTCCCTGTATACTTAAGTATTCGCGTGGCGTGATCGCTGTGACAAGAGAGACCGTTTGTTCGGTTGGTTTCGATGTATCCGCCTCGCCTCGCCACGTGCCTTGTGGCTGCGGCGGCTGTCATGTGTAGATTCCTCCAACTGCAATGATTGCAATGCGACATCGTACATTCCATTGACACGCGTGAAGCGTTGGTGTTCACGAACACACTACACCACACCACACCACGACAAGCTCAAGTAAAGCAGAACACGCCCTCACACAGAAGCCACTAGTTAGTGTACATCAGTCCTTCACCCCCCCTTTCGTCACACATTCACAGCCGCGCGGCCTACGATCACGATTTCATTCATTCAACCAGTGACCGCATCGCCTTGCATCGCCTTCCATGATTCATTCATTCCATGTCATCCACAGACATCCCCCTGGCCACCTCCCCACTGGCACTGCGCCGCATCTCCTCACGGTCACCGTACAAACTCCGCGGTGCCGCCACCGTCACTTGACCAAATGCAGGACCGGCAAACCCCTCACCCCCAGGCCCGCACGATGGACCCTGCTGCTGCCTCTGGGGCGCCTGAGGAGGGGCGATGATGACCGGTGGCACCGACGGGAACACAAACGAGCCCGCTAAAGCTCCCGGCGACATAGGAGGTAATGGAGGGGAGGATGGAGCCGCCACGGGGGCCGGGGGGAGGGGAATGGCAATGGACGGGGGTGACAGGATGGCCGCAGGCAAAGGATCGACTGGCAAGGGGGGCAGGGTGGGCTGGGGGGGAAGCAGGCGATCCCGCGACACGCGCCGACGGATGGGCTGTTGCTGCCGCTCCTCCGAGCTGTTGCTGCGCATAGGCATGTCGCCCCAGTTGAACGCGTCACTCGGCAGCTCGGTCTCCATGTCGGCGTCCCTCTTGTTGCCATTGTTGCCGTTGGTGGCACGGCCCGCCAGCACCTCCTCAGGTGGCGTGTAAGGGATGATCTGGAGCATCTCGTAGCCCTCGCCACTGCCCTTCTTCAGAGCCGCCTGAAAGGCCCGATGCAGCTGTTCGTGCAGCGGCCCAGGGAGCGGCGCCCGAGGCCGCATCGACGAGGGCCCTGGCCGGCTCATTAGGCATTCCTTGAGGGATTCCTCGTTCTCGACCTCAGCGATAAGGGACTCCATGGAGCGCGAGCTGCTGTGGGGGATGATAGCACGCGACTGGCGCCTGTCGTCTTCTGCCGCGTCCGTCATGGCCGCATCCCCACTGCCCTCCTCCGACCGCTGCGAGAACAGAGAGCTGGTCCGGTCGACGCCATCAGTGCGATAAAGAGGCGTCGGCGCGTCATCTGTCGCCTCGTCGCCATTGGTCCGCATAGCCTCCTCGTCTTGCTGCATGTGTGCAGAGGGTGGGACGGCCGAGCTGACATCGGTGTACTGCTCCAGCCGCAGCCGCTTGGCAAGGTTGCTGGCGAGCGCGGCTTCTTCGGACGATTGGTTGAGGTCGACGAGTAGGCGAGTGCGCTTCGCCATAGTGGGACTGATGCCACCTGTGCCGCTGGTTAAGCCTCGACGATGGCCACTCATTGACGGCAGCGGATGAAAACGACAATGCCGTGCTGTGGTCCTCCTCCTTCTCCCTTCCCTTCTCCACTGCGAGCTGTGGGGCAGAAGACTGGGGGCATTCCCGAGACTGCGGGCTGATTTTGGCCTCCGCAAGGAGCTGGGGAAGGCCCTATCCCATTAAGGCAGCACAGGAGAAAGGAGATCTGAGTTGCCGGGCGCCAATTATCCCCTTTTTTCATCCTGGTGTTTGTCCGGTGAGCCTGACCGATGTCGCGCGTGTCTGGTGCCGGGGGCGGCGCTGACCAGCCCGAATGGATGAGACTCGCACGTAGGCAGGAGGAGGGCCGGGAGGGAGGGAGGGAGGGACGGAGGGAGGGAGGGGGTGGTGACGTGAATTCTGGTTTATCTTTCTTCGTGTGTGGCCCAGAGGGCGTTGGCTCTGAGTACATCAACGTTCCCATACCAGGTGAAGCAAAGACGAGGGAGCCATAGAGAGGATGAGACGCCGTCATCACATTCAGGGACCAAAGATCTCTCTTCATGTGTGTGTGGTGTGTCTCAGGCCGTGTAGTTCACCGCAGCCGCTCACAGCCTCGAGAGGAGCCGGTGGGGCAGGGCCGAGCCAACGTGCCGCAGGATCGCAGCGACAGCGCAGGAACTGCCCCACCCAGGGTGATGAGGGAGGCAAAACCAGTAGAGCTGGATACGGGCGCTGTGAAGCGGCTCGCAAACGAGGGCGTCATCGTGGTCAGTACAGCCGAGGGAGGGAGACACGTGTCTCGCCTTCCACACGACCCCGCCTTGATGTCTGTCTGTCTGTCTGTCTGTCTGTCGATTGTCAGCAATTGTGGCTGGAAGAGGAGCAGGTCTTCCACCGGTGCAAGCTGAACGTGTCCAGGGACTTCGACTTCATCCTGTTCTCCGCAACCAAGGAAGGCGACCCTCTGCAGACCCCCATAGAGCTGTCCACCGACAGGATCCAGATGGTTTACTACGGCGACAAAGCCCCCGGCCATGTCGACGGCCGCGTAAACCTCACCCTCATGCCGCCCCATGCGAAGCCCATCTTTATCAAAATCCGGGAGGGTGACGGCGCCCCCCTGTCATTGTGGTTCATGTACCTGACTCGGGCCGAACCGCATGAAGTGCGCAAGACAGCCGATGGAGTCATGCACGCTGTGCTGAAGACTGCGGAAATGGGCGGGCGCATCACCGGGCCCATGTTGGAAGAATACGTGCGGTGAGCAAGGAGCTCGCTTTGGGCGAGTGACTCGGGAGCGTGCTCTGCTCTGTGTGTCTCCTTCTTCCTGTGCTGCAGCAACCGTCCTTTGCGCGATTCGCTGCGCCCCGGGCCAGTGGATCACCTGGAGCCGCCCGCCACGCCCGGAAGCCTCAGAATCGTCAACCTGCAAGAAGTCAGCCGGCCATCAATAAGACACATACATCTGCAGATGCGCATGATGTGATGTCCTCGCTGGTATACCAGATAGTGGCATTGTTCTCGGGGGGTCGGGGTGGTACCGAGGCATCCCTCGGTGCCCCCGTCCTTCAGTTTGAGTTGACGCCCCCAGCTGGGGCGCCCACCGCGACGCCCGGGCCGCTCCTGCTGGACATACCGCTGCGCAGCCTGCGGGACGTACCCAGGCCGCCGCAGATCGAAGCCATTGTCAGTCCATCCACAGCCTGGAAATTCGTGGATGTGTCACACGCACACACGACCCTATTTGTTCCCTGTGCGTGTGTGTGCAGGTACGTGACTTCATGGTGAAGCACTTGCCGTCTCTCATGGTGCTTTCCGACAACACCATCACGGTGTCGCGAGTGAACGACGCGATCGACGCATACCTGATGGCGGCTCACTACGAGAGTGTCGCTGTCGCCCTCAGTGTACTGTGATCGATTCATCAAGGCTCTACTCTCTCTTCCTCCCTCCCTCAGGCCGCGTTGAACAACATAAGCGATGACGATGAGGTGCTGGTCAGAGAGTTCCATGGCAGGGACACCACACAGCTGGAGTAAGACGTCACGACACCCCCACCCTCTTTCCACCTGAACAAAGATCCTGTCCTGTGCTGTGCTGTGCTGTGCTGTGTGTATCGTCCAGCGAGTTTCAGAACCAGCTTCACAGCCTGTACAGCCACCTGGAAGGCAGCATCCACCCTTTGAACGAACCCAGTAGCCGTCACCGGGTCATGTACATGGTGCGTCAAGTGCCCACCCCACCAGCCGACAGACAGACTGACTGACAGACATCAGACGCCTTCACCATACCTGCCTGACATGGCTGGCTCCGTCTCCTTGTTGTCAGATTCAGACGTTCAAGGAAGAGTTGGAGCTCGAGCTGCACATGCGCCAGCAGCGGGATCGCGAGCGGTGAGCCGAGCTGAACTGAAGTGGAAAGCATCGACGCCACATCTATCTTTTCACTGACGCCCCCACCCATTGATTACATGCATATTCCCCAATAGTGCGTCGGCTGGGACCACCCGCGCACCGGCAGATGAGGAAGAGGAGGCGGTGCATCGCCATGAGCGTGAGCTGGAGGCGCAGGAGCCTCCGGCGGACAGACGGGTCGGTCGGCTGCATACGATGGAGGGTACGACGCCAGACAGACAAGAATGGGTGTGGCCAATGTAACTGCTTGAGATGGGGTGGTGGGGTGGATGGTCTTGGTCTTGTTTGCAGAACACACCCGCCAGACCACGCCGCCCCGTGCGCGAGGTATCAACTCTGTGCATCCGTCAGATCTATCTCTCTCTTGGTGTGTCGGTCAATGGGCCAAATATGATATGATATGCAGGTTTTGACGATACACAGGTGTTGCGGCCCCGCGTGTCTCCCGATCAACAGCCGTACACAGTGCAGAAAGGTCAGCCAGCCAGGCAGGCCAGAGAGAAACAGACAGACAGGAGAGGAGACACCACAACAACATCTCTCTGCTTTTGTGCACCTACCTACAGAGTTTGGCCCGCCCATGCCCAACCGCGACACGACCACGACCAACTTCACCCAGCTGCCCCGGGACGCCACCCCGCAGCAGCAGTACGTCCCCGACTTCAGTTTCGGCCCAGCTGCAGCGGCGCACGCCACCATGGCTCCCGCCATGGCCGTCGGCCGCCCGCCTCCCGGCCCATCACGCTACCCTCAACTCCACCCTGTCGGCCAGCGGGGCGCACCCACCATCCCGCCAGGCGGCGAGAAACTCAAGCAAGGGGTGGACGGCCGCGGGGATGGGCGTGAGGGGGACCGTGGGGCAATGGGGCGTCGCCAGCACGCCTACCATGGCCCGGGAGACGAGGATGAGGAGGTGGGGTCGCCTCACGACTGGCGGCAGCGGTCGGGCGGCCTGTTGACGCCGAGCGATGAGCGGCAGCCACTAAGGGGCCGGTCGCGCCGTGTGTCGCCCACGACGTCGCGTGGGCGTCCCGAGGCGCAGTTGTCACGTCGCCAGCAGCCGGCGGCCAAGAAGCGGCCGCAAGAGCAGGAGCAGGAGCCACCTGGTATCTGCGAGAGGCTGTTCGGCAGCCGCAACTGTGCGTGGTGTGCACAGCGATGCCCACTCATGTGAAGGGGGACAGAGACAGAGAGAAAGGGACACGGTTGACTGACTGACTGGCTGGTTGGCTAGCTGGCTGGATTATTGAGTGCCTGCGTGGATGGATGGTAGTGACTGGATGAGTAGGAAGAGTGCGCTCGTCTTTTTCTTTTGTGCGGTCTGTCTGTCTGTCTGTCTGTCTGTCCGGCATAGGGTGGACTGAGTCGCTTGGAGAGAATGATGATTATGGAAGGATGGATGGAGTGAGTGGAATGGGAAGGAACACAAACTGATTGAGACAGGGAACTGATCGGTCAACTAGCGGATTGGAACGTTCCCTCCATATCACGTATGTATCATCTGATACGTCTGTTCTGTTCGTTGGTCGGTCTATACACACACACACACACACACGTGTGCAGACTGGCGCAGGCAGGCCGGGCTCGCCCCCTCACACCAGACCGATCGGTTTTCTGTCTGTCTGCCGATTGGTCGATCTGTCGTGTGTTGTGCTATGTTGTGTCGTTCTTGTTCTGCGGGAACATGGCGTCAGCGATGGCCTGGATGATCGTCTGCTTGTTCTGGCCCTTGTGCACACCCTGCACGCCGTGAATCTGCACACACACACACACACACACACATGCATCAGTGAGTCAGTCAGTGCACACCACGCGTGTGGCGGTGTCTGTCTGTCTGTCTGTCTGTCCGCCGCATCCCGGCCACCCACCTTGGCGAACTGCAGTAGCTGGTCCTTTCTGTAGTTGTCGACCCACTCACACGACATCTCCCCACGGCTCACAGGCATCGCCTACACATCAAGCACAGCGGATGTGATGCCGTCGTGAGTGATCCTCCTTCTCCTGATCCCGCCCCCCTCCCTTGCCTGAGCTGAGCTCCCTCTCCTCTCTCACCGGCATGATGACGGCATCGAGCATGCTCCTCTTCTTCCTAGCGGCACGGCCGTCGTCCACCATCTCATCATAGGCACCATCCTCCTCCTCCTCCTTGACACCCCGCTCCCCAACACGGGCGCCACGCTTAATGCCCTGACGTGACACACACATACACACACACACACACACACGAAGACCGTAGATCGATTCACTCACATATGGATGTGGATCAGGTGTTCGTTCTGTCACCTACCTTGGTAGCCTTGCTGTCCGTGTCCATGCGCTCTGCGTCACTGTTGGCCGCCTCATCCGCCGCCACTGCCTTGCCGCCATGGTCGTCTGCGGCTCTGGTGCTCTTGGCCTTGCCGTCCTTGCTCTCCTTCTGGGCCTTGTTGTCAGCCTGCATGGCCGTCAGCAGGTTCCTGAGCTTCTTCTCGGCAGCTGCGGCCTTCTCGGCAGACGCCTCGGCAACCCTCACACGATCCGACAACTGAGCGCATCTCACACACGCACACACACACACACACACACTCTCTTTTGGCTGAGTGGATTAGAGTCGGCAGGTAGGAATGTCTGTGTGCGCATGTGGGTGGAGTGTGCGATCAATGTGTACACACCGCACCGCACCGTACCCCACCTGTGCGATGTGTTTGTGAGCGGCAGATTTCTCCTCAGACAACTTAGCCATGTCGTCGACAACCTGACACACGCACAACAATGTGATAACAATGCGCCACTTGCTGGCTGATGGGCCCATTGTGCCGTCCCCTCCCCGGCCGGCTCACACAGACAGACGGACGTACCTTATCGTATTTGTGTTTGAGCGCCTCGTGAGCGGTGAGCTGTGCCTTGAGTGCCTTGACCTCCTCCTCCAGCGACGCAACCTTCACACGCTCGGCAGACAGAGCCTTGTTGTGCCTGCCAGAAGTGCAGTGCAGTGCACCAGAATGTCGGTTGGTCACATCCGTGTCTGTCTGTCTGCCGGTACGTCTGTGTGTGGGATAGGATAGGATGTATGTGTGTCTACGTAAGTACTCACTCGTCCTGTGTGCGGATGTTGTCCTTTGCGATGGCCTGACGCACCATCTGCTCCGCCAACTTGAGCTTCTGGTGGTCACACAACATACACAACACACACACACACACAGAGAAAAGGCCGATGCGTGACACATACCATCGTTGTGTCGATCACGCACCTCATGCGTCTGCTGGCTGTGGTGGTAGTCGGCGTGGCGCACCACCGCATTCCACTGCTGCGTCACGACCTGCAGATGACCCTCAAAGTCCTGGACATCGTCAAACGACAACACAAACGCACGCCATCATTGCAGTTAACCATTCATTGCAACGACACACACATGCCGGCGCCCCTCCCCTCAGAGTCTCCTGCATGCCCACCTGCACAGTCATGTGCTTCTTGGCCCAGTCCTGCGGCTGGCGCAGCGGACTCTTGGGCTTCTCCACGCGGGACCACACACTCAGGTAGTCCATCTTGGGGGGGGGGG